AAATAATAATAATAATAATAAATAATAATAATAATAATGGTTTAATCAATAGAATCCATGAGGTGGCTCTTCACCTATTGATAAACTATCTAATATACAATAACACACACACAAGATAAACTTACAATAAAAAACTATGAAACTATAAAATAGACAAATTTTAGACAAAGATTTCTTATTGATTAATTCCAAAGCGATGTTATAATTATATATGAAAGAAAAGGATAAAATTGAAGATATTGGGGGTACACTCCACGGTCCCTGAGCAACCGCTTCAGGCCGAGACATCTGGGGCAGCAGACAAAAGAAACTGACCCAAATGGCATGACCCAAAACAATCACCCAAAGGCACCAAAGCGCAGCTCCAAAATCTACCAATTAGATAAAAGATGAATTAATTGATAAATAAATCAAGTAGTGTCATATTGCTTCTTTAGCTCTGCTTTCACCTTTGAACAAAATAGACTATAACTAGAAATGTCTTTTATATTACTTGGTAAATTATTGAATAGTTCTGAGGCGATGTCTTGAAAAGTTCCCTTTTTGTAAATAAATTTGAATTAAAGAGGCTGCTAACCTTGTTTCCAGAGAGATTGCCTCCAGTCATATCATCTCGCTTGATTCCAACACTAAACCCATTGGGAACATCTGATAAATTCCATTTATGAATTGGAGTATTGTGAATTGCGAGCTGGGAAGAATTAAATTACGAAAAAGTTTCCATGACTGCATATGTATTGCAGGGGGGGGGGGGGGGACTCCGCCAGATTTATGGTAGGGGTGTTCTGCTGGGATTCTGAAAGGGGTACCCTGTTTATGATAAGAAAACTCAAATTTATAGACCCTGTTTATGATAAAAGATATAATTAATTGTACTGAATTCCTGGTTTAATTATCATGTTGCTAATAGAGTGCAAAGCACTAGTATGAGAGGTTGTCCTATAGGGGAGAGACATGGTATTAGTAAAGCTTACGATATGAGCAGCCATGTTGTATTGGCTATACAAACCGAACACGGTTTTATTGTATGGCTGATACAACACAGACGCAGATCTTGTAAAAAAAAATTGTGAAATTTGACAGATATTTGAAGTCCCCAGGCCCCTAGCAAGGCTTAAAATGTAGCGGAGCCCCAAAACAACTTTTTTCCAGAAGACAATAATAAACAATGATAAACCCGTCTAATTAATCTCTAACCTTAATATCAGTCCCTGGGGGAGGGGGAGGGGGAGGGGGAATGTTACTCTTGCACCAACATATTGTGTTACATGTAATTTCTTTATACCATAGTTTTAATAGAGGGGAATGGTTAGGAAACTTATTGTTATCAGGTCTTTGTTTGCTTGTGAGGTTGAACCGGTCTTGACCGTGCAATATGTTTGATTTATGCTCATCCGAAATTGCAAAATAAGCAAACATAAACTTTGTCTGTGGAATTATTGTAAGGAATATTCAAATGTCTCTTAAAAATCTTTAAGTATTTTGAACTAGCTGCCAAAAGAAAGATTTTGGTCTGTTCACTCAGCCATTGCCAASTGTGGTAAAACAATGGYAAAACAAAGGATTGTGCACCGTCACGCTTGAAAAAAGTGAACAATAACCTATAACAATAGAGTTTCCTAACCATTCCACCGGGTAATCCACAACCGGCAGAAGGAAGCCTGGGAGTGGAGGAACAAACAATGAATGGTGAGAAAAACAAAGAACGCAGCTCACATGTAGAACAATACACATTGTTCACCATAATCCATGCTTTCTTTGTTTTTGTTATTTTGTCCAATCCCAAGCTTATACGTTCTACCAGTGGACACCGACCAATTCCACTCGGTACACTATACTCTAAATGTACTGCACCATTTCAACGTAATGTAACTCAACCTTATCATGGCCCAGTATGCATATGTTTTCATAAAAAATAAAGAAAAAAATAAAGAAGAAAAAAAATCATTATTTAAGAATCCACTGTTCTGTTTCAATATTCACATCACGTTGTGACATAGTTAATAGACTATGGTTGTGATAGTCTCTATCTATCACTGAATCGTTCCGCATTATTTCATGCATATGTTGATGATTAGATTAAGAGATTAAGTAGAATTAAGAATATTATGAACAGTAGTAGATCGACGAGTAGGCTAATTGAAACTTTTGCAGTCCCCATCCCCCTAGCACGTGCATGAGGAGTTTTACCGGCTTTATTCATATATTACCTCAACAACATAATTCGGAACATTTTTTAATCCTTTGGCCCATTCTGGTGGCTCATATTTCTTCAAGCTTTCATGAGTAAATCCAGGCATATTTGTGTCAGAGCGATCCTGAAAGATATCCTGGTGAAATTTAACTGCAGCCATTCCTGTCGACTTCATCAACAAGGTTTTGTCTTCGCATTGGCTGGTTGTGTCATAATAGCATCACGTGGCACCCAAAGGTCAAATGTGGCCGTAATTCTACTACCACGTGCCACGTGATGCTATTATGACACAACCAGCCAATGCCCAGATCGATTGCGAAGACAAAACCTTGTTGATGCCCATGGTACGGGAATATTTATAATATTAGTAGATACTGAAAAATATACACTGATCTATTCACAAAGCTTTAAAAAATATGTCTGTCCCTCAAGAAGATCGYCTTCTTGTGATTTCCTTATTGCATTATGACGTCACTAAGAATATTCCAGACACGCGCGTCGAGTTTCACRTGACCGTAATGCACTAGTCAATTGAAACCCCCGCCCCCCCGACCCCCGCGGCTAGCGGGGCACTGAACGGGGACGTGACGCGTTTTTGATGTGCTTTTAAGAGCATGATTGCATCGGGGGTTCGGAGATTTAACGAATGGTTTTCTCAGCGGGGAATCGAGCGGGGATTTTAACGCTCGTTTGAATATGTAAGAGCCTGGAAACAAGAGGTCGGCCATCTTGAAAAATACCAAGAAGGCGTTGTGATTCCAAGCACAGGGAGCCCGTAGCCTAGTACAGAGCAGTATGTTCTACACAAAACACATGCTCAAACAAACTTATAGCATTTTCTACCTATACACTTTTACACTGAACTCCACTGATAAGAACCTTTCTTAAAATTAATAGGTTCTTATGTGGAGGGGTCTTAAAGTGAGACGTTTAGCCTAACAGGTTCTTTAAAAAAAAACAGGTTCTTATACAACGCGGGTCTTGTTTAGTCGTTTCGGTCAGTTCGAAYGTAGAATCAGTTCATGATTACTCTATTAAAACTACTGCTTCGCAAAATTTACAAGCATTGTTCATTTTCAATATGATACTATTAAATTCTCAGCTGACTAGACGTAAACCTAAACGTTTTCGCACGATTTGAGGTTCAGAGCCCATGAAAATATTGAGCATTGAATATTTAGTGCATGGAACACACAACGATTGGCTCTTGGGGGTTTCAATTGACTAGTGCATAAGGGTTTTGGAAGATAAAAGATTTAAGGAAAAACGACTAAAATTCTATCTATTTTACGAAAATCCCTAAGCATGTCCGTCTTCATTAAACAACAGTATTTCATATGAGTATTTCACACTATCTTTTATCTAGTTAACTGTAAAAGTCGAATTCCGCTTCAGAAAAACTTTGACTGAGCGGATTGTGGGCCTGCACGGCACGGCACTTTTTTTTCTCGTTTGCTACTCCATGGAGCAGCCTTATCACCCGGAGCGGGATTCTACGGTAGAAGAGTAGTGCGCATTTTTGCGCACATAGCAGTTTATGCATGCAACATCGAGTTGCATGGTATTTCTTTATCTTCCCCTGAACTGTGTAGCGATAACGGAAATATTGGACAGTCACCTGGTAGACACCTTTTTTTGCAAACGTTTGGCTTTTGTAGCTGGGTTTCTACGGTAGAACGCAATGATGATGCAAGCCAGCGCGATGACAACATATTCTTTGTCAGTTTCCCCGGAAAAATGTAACGGTCTCGGAAAGATGGAAGGTAAAGCTGGTCGACACCTTTTTTGCGGCGATACATCAGTTTCGGAAAATTGCGCAAACGTCTACGGTGCTATCGAGCGATAAAGTGATGCTTCCAAAAGCTTTATCTTGCGTGAGGTTTGAGCCCGAAGGCCGGTGCCTCATGCGTAGCGGCGCTCTAGGAGATTGGGGAAGGAGGGGGGGGGGGGGGGGGGGGGGGGGGG